GGTGCCTAATCACAGCTCGGCCGGTCAGGCCCAGGTTTAGGTTTGGAAAAGCTGTTCAGAGTTTTGTCAGTATTCCTAGTAACTGTGGCTTTGGGGAGCGAAGCCACATCTATAGACAGAATTTGTTTCACTAACCCCATCAGTAAGCTGTAAACTAAGCTTTGTTCTCTTATTTTGGTCAGAGGGCACACACACTTGTCAGAGACAGAGGGAGAGGGAACAGACAACCTCAATGGGAGGACATGGTCGTGCCATAATCCCCTCTCCCTTTCTCCACCCTTCCAGGATTTTAAGCATGCATGTTTACGAGCCCAGCACGCTTTCAAGCGCCAGGGCTGGGATTCCAGTCATTCGGTCAGCCACCTGGGATCCGACTGACGTCTCCACCAGGCCATGTGTCTGACCTTAAACCAAGATTTAAAGTCAAGATTTTCACGTTAAAGATCACAGCAACACTTTAGTCAGTGCACTCTCCAACACTGAGCTCTCAGGTTCCAGCTTACGAGTAGGCTGCATGCTGCCTGCCATCTTCAGGAGAGTTTGGGTATTTCCACAGAGTCCATAATCGGAATATTATCCAAAAGCAGACTCCACATCTGATATTCTCGGTGTGCATTTGCTACATGAGTGTGAAACTGTAACAGCCACAGGCAGGTAAAATCCCAGTTCCGTATTCCCTGCAGCCCATGTTAGGAGATGGCTATGGACACTTTCTTTCCGAGATTGTGAACTTCTCATTGTGCCTTTGATATAGCTTCCAGAAGTCACTCGTAACACCCCTGCCCTACCCCCCAAGGGACTTCTGACCTTTGAAGTGAAGATGCTGTCCTTTGCTGGACTTGTACGGAGGTCCTGCGTGAGCGCCCTTCCCCAGCGCCCCCTGCCCCCCACGGTGTGGTCACACTGCAGCCTGAAGCTCTGAGTGAGAGGAAGCACACCAGGCTTGCCTCCTGCTCCAAGACGTCATGACCTGCTGCCAAGTCTCGTCATCCTAAGTTACTGTGTGTGATTCTGAAATAGGTCCTTCTTTCTGTCTCTCTCTCTGTGTCTTCCTGGCGAATGCTCGTGCCCTATAGCAAAAACTTCTCTTAAAAGAGAGAGAGAGAGAGAGATCCAGAAAGTGAATCGTGAATCAGATTCACTTATTTCCCTTGTTTATGAAATACGTACTTAGAAATTTTCACCATTTGGAATCATAATTAGGAGTTAATGACAATTAACTTCTAAAGAGTTCCTATTGATATATGTTGTTTGGGCAACTTTTAACCCACCTCTCCCCCCCCCCCTTTTTTTTTTAAGGTTTCTACCATAGCATTGTTTGCTTGCCAGAAAGATACAGAAAGAAAGGGAAAGTGAGAACTCACCACCCAGGGGGATGACCACAGGCACTCTCTTTTCCTTTGGTCTTTTTCTGGGATTTTAGGCATGCCTGCATGAGCCCAGCATGATTTTCAAGCTGCCAAATCCAAAACTCAAGCTGCGGTTTGCCATGTGGAAGTTTAGCACCCTAACCACCATGCCACCTGATGGCCTTATCAAGTCATATTTTTAAGTGCCTGATTTGAGATTCACTTGCACAAGCTTAAGTTCTATACAAACTGAATTTATAAGATAGAATTTTTTTCCCTATAGACGTTGTTATTTTGGGGACTGGCGGGTGATGTGGTGATTAGGGCCCGGGACTCCTCGGGCTTCCTGCAGTTTGAATTCCAGAGCTGGTGACTTGCTTCCTCACTTTCCCTTTTTCTCTCTCTGTTCAAATAGAAAAAGTAGTAATAACAAATACAATTAAATAGTTCTAAAATAAACCTAAATATCTTATCAACCCTTTGAAGGAATCGATTTTTTTAACCCTAGTATGTTACCCCTATACTGTATTCATTGTTGTTAGACACATATATGATCTGTATAGCTTAAGCACATTTATATTTACTTCAGTGCATATGTGAAAAAGTTATTAATATGCTTCTCCTTTTCAGTGTATTCTGTTTGATTGTTTGCTATAGATATGTGCACTTGCCAGAGAGAGAGAGAGAGGGAAAATGAGGAGTCACCCCTCAGTGAAGGTGGCCATTCTACAGTCCCTTCTAGTCCAGTCTCTTCTTGGGATTTTGGGCGTGCACCTGCTGATTTTCAAGCCACTGGATGTGGGACTCACAATGTGCAGCTGGCCATGTGCCATCCAGTTCCTTAACCTCCACACCATCTTTTCTTTTAATTTAATTTTTTTTTGAGAGGTTTTCGCCATAGGGTGCGTGCACTCGCCAGACAGACAGGGAAAGACAGAGAGACAGAAAGCGAGAGATCACCCCCCCAGGGGGGATGGTCACACCGCAATCCCTTCTCCTCCATTCTCCTCTCAGGATCTTGGGCACACACACACGCGCCTGGTGTGAGTTTTAAGCCATCGGGTCCGGGACACGAACTGCGGTCCACTACATGGGAGTCCAGTGACATAGCCATTATGCTAACTGCTGGTTCCCTTTCATTTAAATTTTATTTAACCTTATTTATTCATTTATTTATTTATTTATTTATCTTAATTTGACGAGAGAGAGAGCGAGAGAGCGAGAGAGCCAGAGAGAGAGAGAGAGAGAGAGCGATGGGGGCAGGCTGCCAGATCCAGGACTCCAACTGTGATCGAACATGGGAGAGTCCAGCACCGTTAACCACAGTGCCACCTGCTGGCCCTGATCTGGGTTTTTTTTTTTTTTGAACATTTATTTATTTGTCTATTTATTTGTTTTGATTTTCAAGCCACCAGGTCTGAGACTAGAACCACAGTTAACCATGTGAGAATCCAGCGCCTTAATCACTATACCACCTTCTGGCCCTCATCATTGTTTTTAACAGTTATTTCAATTTAAACATTAAAAGTTAAGCGCTAGGGCCAGGTGGTATGGTGGTTAAAGTCACTGAATTCCCACGACTTGAAAATCACACATATGTGTGCATGCCCAGAATCATGGGATGAGAAGGAGGAGAAGGGATTGTGGCATGGCCATCCTCCTGGGGCGTGATTTCTCACTTTCCGTCTCACTAGTTCTCTCTCTCTCTCTATCTCTCTGTCTCTCTCTCCGCCAAGTGCACACACCCTAAAAAAAAAAAAAAAAAAAAAACAGAAAAAAGAGAAACATGCCAGCAGGTGACGTGGCAATTAAGGCTTTGTACTCCTTATGGTCGACCATGGTTCGAGTCCTCGACCCGGTGACTTGGAAATCACCCTTGTGTGTGTCTGCTAGGAGATTGTTGGAGAAGGGATGGTGGCATGACCACCCCCCAGGGGGTGGTTTCTCACTTTCTCTCCATCACTTTCCATCTCTCTCTGGCGAGAGCATGTACCCTATAGCAAACAACCCTCCTCAAAACAAAAAGTAAATAAAATAAAAAGTTAGACATTTCTTAGTGAATATTAACAGTAGTTTTTAAAATACCTGGTCTTTTCATCTAAGTCAGTGGACTCTGTTTCTCATCTCACCACTTTGATTTGGAGTTCTAAGGAATCTCTTTATCTGCAATAGTTTTTCAGCCATCAATTTTATCTTGATGTTTTCCCTGGGAATCTGTAGCAAAGGTTCTGTTGGTGGGATGAAAGGAATAACAACCGAAAAATCAGGCATATTGTCAAAATTGATATTCACAGAGGTTTTTTTTTTTTTTTTTTTTTTAAATTGCTAGAGGATGCGCATGTTTGCCAGGGAAGGAGAAAGTACCTCCTGTAGTCACAACTTAATCCGCTCCAGTCCTCAGTCTCCCCCTCTGCACCCAGTGTGTTTTGTAAGACAGGCTGGGATTCGAAGTGAGGCCTGCTCTGTGGGATCCAACTCCTGTAGCCGATTGGCCATGGGGCCAGCTTGATACTCAGACTTAGTTAGGGCAGAGTGCTTGGAATGACAGTCTAGTTTTTTTTTTTTTTTTTTTTTAGGGTTTTTGCCATAGGGCACCTGTGTTTGCCAGAGAAAACCAGATAAAGGAAAAGTGAGAAATCCTCCTCTAGGGCGATGGCTTCACTGCAGTCTCTTCTCCATTTTTCTCTCAGGATTTTGGGCATGCATGCACAGGCCACAGAGTCTAGAGCTCAAACCACAGTCGGCAGTGTGGGAGTCCAACAGCTTACCCACTGTGCTGCCTGCTGTCCTTGACGTTTTAGCTTTTCAGTATGTCAGCCTGTTCAGGAAAGAGCAATAAAAGTCTAAGAAGTACCTCAGACTGAGAAAGTAGTGGCACTGTTTCAGAAATCCCCCTTTTCCCTAGCTTTCAGCCACCAGCAGTTCCTTGCATGGAAGTCATTAGTTTTGGGGGGGAGGCAGGGGAAAAGGAGGTGACATGAACTGTGCAGGAGAGAACATGAAAGGAATATACATCTGCTGACTGTGACAATTCATGCCAAGCCTGGTACTGGTGCTGCAGATTAATGAGGAAAGGGAAGAAACTGAGTGTTAAAAATTGTGTTACTTATTGTCTTTAGAAAAGGTTTATTACAGAAAATGTTTCCAAAGTAAGAATATATCTGTTCTGAAACCTTTTGAAACACTCGATGCTTGATAATTTTGTTACTTATTACAAGTTGTATCTCCTTGAGCATTATTCCAGGTGTACACAGAACAATTGGAGTTCCAGTTGGTTTCAGCTTAGGACTGAAATTCTTGCAAATAGGTGTCTCACCTCTCATGTCTATTTCAGCCAAAGCTACACTGTTTTGTTTTGTATTTTAATCATTCATAGATGTCTGTCAAGTTTCACATAGGTAATGAGTCTTCTAGGGATTCATTTTTACCTTTTTTCTTTTTTTTTTTCTTCCATTAATGGGTCCGTTTATCTTTATTCTCCTATCTTTGAAACTAGAATTTTTTATTCTTAGGAAATTCGCGTTTTAACTTTCTTCGGGGGCAAGTTTAAATCTCAGAATCTGAGCATATTCTTAAACTGATTTGAGTTAAAGAAAAAGAAAAAGCACTGTACAGTGATAACTTTTGATGGGTTTATGTTCTCACCCACAGACACTAGACCAGCTCCCACTCACCAACCCTGAGCACTTTGGCACTCCAGTCATAGGAAAGAAAACAAATAGAGGAAGAAGATCTAATCATATGTAAGTCCATTTTCCTGATGTTAGTTGAACCTGAATTCATTTGTCCTGCTAGTACTGTTTTCATAGTTTTTATTTTTAACTTGTAATTTGCAAAATGCTAACGAGATGTAATAGTCATTTCAGCTCTGATGGTAATCTCAGCCTCTGTCCACAGCATGGGTGATTGAGGCTCTTCATGTCCACCCAGCCTAACTGCTGTCTGTGCCAGCTCTGACCTCCCCGTGTCTCGATGCTGTAGTCACACGGAGCTCGGCAGCACCCATGAGCATGTCCTGTTTTCTGATGTCAGCTGTGCTTTCGTTTGTGCTGGGTCTTCTCTTCCCTGTTACTGTCTTGCTCATTCTTAAATTGTAATGCTTCTATGTTTTTGTGAACGGTTCTGTGTCTCCCTATACTTTCCTTGAAACCAGACATGTTTTTCTCCCCTCTGAACCTTCTGAGTTCTTTACATTTATTTACTGTCATAGGTAAAATTTCACCTCTTGTCATTGTATCGTTTGTTTTCCCTTAGGGATTTGATCTCTGTAATAGCAGTAACTGTCCCCCCTTTTTTTGTCTTCTTAGAGGCATGACACATATTTTATATATTCAAGAAATGACATTCAGTGAAGTGTGCCTGGGCTCTGAATGCTTTAAATTAGAAGGAATCACAGGTCACAAAGGGTGGTGAAATTGCAGGTCACTAGGGGTACAGGATACAGAAACGGCCTTCATACAATTCTAGAATAAAACATAATTTACTGCAAAAGACTGAAAGGCAGAATGACATCAGCCTTCTCTGTAGCAACACTAGATGCTAGTAGTGTGTGGAATGCAGAATGGAGGAAGGGAAGTCCCCCCTGAGAAGGAGTTCTTCATTACCCGGTGAGGTGGGACTTCGAGGAAATGTTAATGATGATAGCAAACATTGAACTGTCAGAAAAGTCATGACACGTTTTTCTGTGTTTTCCTATGCAAAAATGCATCATGGTTTTTCCAGTGACCCAATAGAAGAACGAAAGTAGCAGAGCATTTAGGAACTGCTCTGCAGAAATTATGTCAGAAAGGAGGCAGAGTGAGTAGGTTGGAGAGTTGGAGAGGTATTTAAAATATAAATGACAAGTCTTCATAACAATGGGAAGTCAGTAGAATACTAAGGTGCATAAATTAAGGAGTACAAATGACATGGTGGTTAAGGTGTTGGACTCCCACATGCTTAACCATGGCTCAAGCCATGGCTGCTTGAAAATTACGCCAGAGGCATAGGTGTGGTGCTCAAAATTCGGAAATGAGAATGGAGGAAGCGAGGTTACAGGGGACTATTTCTCACTTCCCCTCTTTCTCTCTCTTTCAGCCAGTGCAGTACATGTATCCAATGGCAAAAACTTAGATAAGTAAATACCAGCATAAGACTATTACTTAGAAGTAATATAGTGTCAGAAACATTAGTGGAGAGAATATAAAAAAGCAGCCTCGTAGAATAAAAGAAAGATGGAAAGTCTGGAGTGGTGGAGTATAGTTTTTATTTCATTTTATTGGAGATTATTTTAAAAATAATTTGGAATGTTTTGTTTGGATTAGAATTTTTTTTTTTGAAAGGGTTTTTTTTTTTTTTTTTTCACTATAGGGCGCGTGCGCTCGCCAGACAGACAGAGAGAGACATAGAGACAGAAAGCGAGAAATCACCCCCCAGGGGGGATGGTCACGCCGCAATCCCTTCTCCTCCAGTCTCCTCCCGGGATCTTGGGCACGCACGCACATGCGCCTGGCGTGAGTTTTAAGCCACCGGGTCCGGGACACGAACCGCGGTCGACTCCATGGCAGTCCAGCGACATAGCCATTACGCTAACTGCTGGTTCCCTGGATTAGAATTTTTTATATGCAAAAACTCAAAAATTATGAGTAGTCATTAAAAATAAACTTCGAGTTGAGTTATTTAAACTTTAGTGTAAGTAAATGTATTTATCCAACATACGGAATCAGTTATTAACCCAGTTACAGTTGGGCCTTGGAGGTAGAAGCTGTAAGCACTGTCTTCACATTCCTTCATGTCAGCGTCACAGCACACTCATGAGGGTGGGTATATTTTAATCCCTATTAAAATTGGGAAACGTGTGGGAAGATGGTGCCAAATCAAGGGGCAGCAAGACGGTGGGAAGGGCCAGGTTTGAACTCAGCCTTGATCCTCAGGTCTTTATCGGTGGACTATTTTTTGTTTAGATAAAGTACTAGTTTCCAATTTAGTTTTAGCAATAAATAAATGATGACTCATTGGGTAAAGGAAATTACTGGGTTGTCAGAAAAATCATGATGCTTTTTTGCATAGAAAAGGAGAAAAAAATACGTCATTACTCTTTGACAGCCTAATAAATGAGTCAGCATTGCATTGAAAAGTATTTAGGGTTATTTATTTTCCTACTAATGATGTAGGTTGTGCATTTTTTTCTCCTCTAATTCTGAATCTTTTAGAAAATGTTTTTCTTAATCACTAAGTGAATAATTTCTCTGACCTTGTGACTTAGCTTGCTAGTGACTTGATTATTTTTAGGACGTTCAGGTTGTAGCTCTTATTCTTCTATGTATGACATTTAAAAATTGTCTAGCCAGAAAGAAAAAGAAATGAAAACCTTACGTAGCATTGGAAGTACAAGCTGTTGTGAATGCTAGCTGTTACTGTGGTCAGGTGTTTCAGGATTCTCCATAGGGCCGTTGTGTTGCCATCGATTTGTGATGTATTTTGATATTTCTCTGAAAATGACTGACCTCATACATGACTTAAATGTTTTATCTGTCATTGATAATGCTTCTTATAGTTCTATACTCAACTTTTAACTAACTGTGACTGATGTCGGAGCAGTGAGTCTGAGTGCAAATAATATACATGTTTTCTTTAGTGGTGACTTCCAGTTTTCGAGCTCGGTCTTAGCCGTGGAGCAGACTGGGTTGGAATCCTGGCTCTGCCACTCGCTCACCACACACAGCCTTTGGCAGGTCACCTAGTCTGCTCATGCTCTGTTCTAATCTTCGTGAGTGTGGTGTAAGTGCTAGAGGTCGCCGTCATGCTGATGGCATTTCACGATGAAATACCCATTCACAACCTGATTGCACTGAAGTATGTGTGTGTGTGTAAACGGTCTCTTTCTGGTGTTTATGTCTGTCAGGTGGAGCTGGTGTTTGCTTTATTCCTTGAACTCTGAAAAGAACACTCCTATGATATATGTGTATATTAATAGAGGAGAACTTTTGCAGGTTTCAGGAATTTTTTAAATTAAACTTGCACCTAACATTTAAATATCTTTTTACCTTTTTTACAAATATCTTACAGAGTGGGAAAATATATTTAAAAATAAATTTCTCATAGAATATTACATAGATTGGTCTATGAAAGTGACCAAAACAGTAACTTCTGTTAAAGTATGTTGTTTCTTGGGACTAGCAGTTGGTGTAATGGCTGTATCTCTGGACTCCCATGTAGTCAGCTGTGGTTCGAGTCTCGGACCTGGCGGCTTGAACTCACACCGGGCATGTGTGCGTGTGTGCGTGCGGGCCCAAGATCCGGAGAGGAGAATGGAGGGGAAGGGATTGTGGTGTGGCCACCCCCCCAAGGGGGGGGATTTCTTGCTTTCTGTCTCTCTCTTTCTGGTGAGTGTATGTGCCCTTTAGTAAAGACCTCTCCCCCCCCAAAAAAGTCTCTTGTTTCTTGTCTGAGTTGTCCTTTTCCTGGGTGTAAAAATGAAACAATGCAGATGTCACTGAGCATGTAGACCTTTGCTTTCTAAGGCAGTGCTTCTTCTGTCGAGTATATCTATGTGCTAGGAGAGACTTGCCGTAGAACTTGTGTTGTGCCCATGTAAAGTACGACAGCAGACAGAAGGGTGAGTCACCGGTCGAGGACACGAAGCCCAGGCCTGTCTGTAGCCGTGTTTTGCCTGCTGACCCTCACCACCCCCCCCACCTTCAGGGCTGTTCATGTTCTCTGCCAAGGTCTTGTCCTTGCTTGATGCTTTGAGTCTTGGTTGGTACACGTGATGGGCAGATAACAGTTTGCAGTGCCCATCTCCTTAACTGATTTAATCCAAGTTCGTTTTCCTTTCTGCAGAGTCTTGGACGGATCTTAATAGCTTTCACCTCTCCGACTCTTCTTTCCATTTCCGTTACTTTAGTGCAGAATGTTTTCATAGGGTTCTCTGACTGCCACTTAAAATAGACTTCCGGGGGACCAGCAGTTAGCGTAATGGCTGTCGCTGGACTCCCACGTAGTCGACCGCGGTTCACGTCCCGGACCCGGTGGCTTAAAACTCACGCCGGGCGCGTGTGCGTGCGTGCCCAAGATCCCGAGAGGAGAATGGAGGAGAAGGGATTGCGGCGTGACCATCCCCCCTGGGGGGTGATTTCTCGCTTTCTGTCTCTCTGTCTCTCTCTGTCTGTCTGGTGAGCGCACGCGCCCTACAGTGAAAATCTCTCCAAAAAAAAAAAAAATGTTTT